ACTGAAAGTTTTAATTTTATAACTAGCTAGCATTGCTTATACAAGATTTTGGTTTGTTAGATTTGGTGCCCAGAACTTTTAGCGTAACAACCTTGGTTCCTTTTTCACTTGTGCAGTAACTAAATTAAACATTAAAAAAAATTCAGGTGCATACATAGGTATAAGTAATCTGCTAAGCAAAGGATGTAAAAGGACACATATCCTTTAAGTGATTGTTGTTGCACGATATCACTTACATGATGAAACTGTTCAATTATCCCTTTTAACCTAAAAATCTACTGAAACCTATGCCTAATGCATAATAACTGTAATACCATTATGATTTGTGGACCATCAAGATTCAAGAGGTTGGTCTCATGTTGCGTCTGCACCCACTTCTTTTGCGATCCTTAATCGACACGAGGTAGTGTCACTTGAGTTTGTGCCTAATGAGTATCGAACCATTAGAATAGAATTCATCATTTGTTACTATAAACTTTAGGTTGAGACACTCAACCTTTCCATAATCGACCTCGAGTGAAAGAGGGCTTTGGCCCCCTCAAATCTCAATGCTCACTCAGACAATTAATTCTTTGTGGTGACAGATGAGGACCTAGGTGAGTATGGGGCTAAGCGCCCCTGCTTCTGGTCTTGAAAAATACGTAGTAGTATTAGTACTGTGCTCACATATTGTGTTGTACAAGTATTTGGAAAGAAATAATGTTGCACCGAAAAAAGTATACTATTTATTATACAAAAACCAAACTCAAAGCATTGTTTTGACATGAAGTTTGTTTTTAAGTAGAATTTAGAAATGACGTTATTTTTGGATTGGATTTCCATGATGTTGAGATGAAGCGTCACACTATCATTATATCACATTTATACAACAAGACATTGATTGAATAAATTTATAAGACATATATGGATTGATAAAGGAGTCATCAGTTAAGGTTGAAAAATGTTTTCTTCATGGAAAAGTCTATTTGACATATCTTGTTTTCACGGTGAAAATTTGTAACCTTTTAAGGTAGCTTTTACATATATAAAAATAAGGTCAAATAAATAATACTACACCATGATATGATCAAATTTCTACCACGAATCACACTGAGTGAACATATTTACATGTCATATTTTGATTAAAAGGGATGCATCTATTAGGATTAGAAAATATTTATCTTCGTATATGTTGAAGACCTATATGTTAGCTTTCTATTCACATAATAAAGCTTATAAGGGACGACCCTTCACCAACTACTAGAACACCTATCAACCGAATACTAATAATTCTAAGCATACTTTAGACAAAATAAAGTGACCCTCTTAACCAAATCATGGGTGATACTATGGACAATGACATATACGTAGTAGTACTATGTATAAGGCAAACATACATAGAGTTAGACAAGAGCAATCACGAAACTATTTCTATTCTTGATATAGTTTTACTTTTTTTTTTGCTAAATTCAAAAAGTAGAGAGCATGTTTATTTTTTCATGACATAGCAAAGTGGGGTGCTGAAAGTGGATAAATGTGGATCTATCTTATACTAGTAAAATCCTTGATATTACAATTCTCATGATTAAATCAGAACTTTTTTTTTATTTATTGTCAACTGAAAGAATGATAATGTGTAATATAAAACTGATAAAACTGATTGTGCATATAATATACATATCATTTTAAAAGGACATAAACAGTTGGCAAATGTTGAAGAACTATAAAAAATGACATGTACTGAGTATATAATAAGAGATTTCCCCCGCAGAATAATATGCCTGGTTATGTTTTTTGGATAAAAATATGATTAGTTTTTGTGTATGATTAATTAGACAAAAGTTATTATACGTAGTACTAGTAGTATATTTCAAAGTAATAGGTCAGTGATAGATGATATGTCGGTGAAAACTAGTCACTAAATATGTCAATTTTTTGGAAAGCTTTAAAATAGAACATACTTTCATCTTTTGAATTTAATTTAGTAATATTAATGAAAAAAGTCAAACAATTCTTTGAAAAAGATCAAATACAAAAGGAAATAGACAGCATTTATAAAAATTGAGTGAAAAAATATAAAAGCAACAGAGTAGTATAATTTGCAATGTGCCCAAATATGCAATCCCCTTCAAACTTTTGGAGCGTGATGAGATACAACTAGAAATAGTCCGTTAACTTCTACCATTCATTTCAAAATTTTCGTCTCCCTCCTCTTTTACCTCCTCCCCGCTTGCCTGCTCCACTCACTCTGTGTATCACGGCACACCGACGCGGCGGCGAGAGGAGGCGGAGATGTCGATAGTCAAAGTACCGGGTTCTCCAAACCACGAGCTGGAAGAAGAGGTTAAACAAATGGCCGCCAAACTTGCAGACCTCCGGGCCACGGTTCTGGATCAGCTCAAGGCCACTCGAGCTTCTCTTCTTGCTGCTAACGAACCCGTTCAAGATATGCATTTCGATTTCGGATCCCGACACCTACCCGGACCCTCACGCCTACCTGGCTCTGGTACGCCCCCCCTAGGGTTTTTAAACTTTCAGATTATATGCATTTGTTCGCAAATTGGATGCAGCCTTTTGGTGGTGTTTGCATGTGTAAATCCTCTTAGCTAGTAATTGAATTGCACTGCTGTATTGATCTGGTGCGAAGAAGCCCAGACGTTATTGAGTAATTGCATGTTTTGTTTCTCGGAATTGGATTTTTTTTTTGCTACAGTTAAACAGAAAGTAGGAAGTTTTGTCAATTCTTGTGGTAATTTGCACTTCATAGGGCAACTCTTGGGCTTGTAGAGTACTGAAATATCTGGTTGAGGAGTTCCATCGAAATATAGCAGTACTTGTTGATAAAATTTGGAATTTTAGGGCCTGTTCGGATGGTAAGGGTTGTTTGGTTGCAATGATGCTAACCTGTTGGATTTTCTTGAACAGAGAATGTTTGGTGTCTCATTTTAGCCAAATTGTTAAGTCAAAAGTTACTCATTCTTCTTATTTTAGTGATGACGAGAATAAGCCACCAAGCTGGCTACCAAACATAGCCTTAATCTTGAATTGAACATTTTGTATTTTTCTCTGGCATCTATATGTTTACATAATTTGCTAGACCACCCCAATAAAAGCAATTATGGAATTTTAAAAGCCTAAAAGACAATCTTGCAAGCCAAAACTCCTTTTCCTTTGTTTCCTGGGCGGAAAAAGTACATGATTTGGCTTTCACTAGGAGCCTCTAAAATACTATATATGCATTTATCAAAATCTTTATGGTGCACAGATTTAGTAGCTGTTGGTTCAAATGAGGGTCCTTCAACGGGAGAAGAGCAGGATGAGGCTGTTGAGCAAACACAGCTCCTGAAACAGAAGTATTTGAGAAATGCAGAATTAGCATCAAATTTGTTAAAGAGGTTGAAGGAAGTGATGGAATTTATGGGAAGGATTGATAAATTAGGGTCTCAACGTCCAGTTATCCACCCTGCTTTCAAAAGAAAAAGGAGTAGCTGATCAGAGTTGCTATATTGTATGGTATGGTACTATAGTCGATGCATTCGAGGCTTCGAGCCAAGCTGTTAGGGTAAGGGGTTGGCTGATTGATCTATATTTGTGTTCAGCTTGTTGTAATTACATAGGAACAACGTGTATTATATAAGCAATTAGTCAGTCATTGACAATAGGGGTGTTAGCCGAGAGGAATGTACTGCAAATTTTGTAAGCTTTGTCAATCAGTTTTTTATTTTATTTATTATCAATTTATCATCACTATTACTCCCTATATTTTTTGAAGCAACGAGGAACACAACCGTTGTATTCAGTGTAGTTGATTTTTTTTCTATATGGATATTTGTCAAACGTAAACATAAGATGTGTTTCAAGTAGATAAAGTTGACCTTAAATAAAGTTGTAGATAATGTTATTTTATCACAATTTGAATCATAGAATTTGGATCATATCCCATAAAAAGATATGGCTGAAGTGGTGAGAGATGTTCCCCTCAAATTTCAATAGTGACTATTTGTCTCCTACGGGCTATGCCTAATTTCACCTTAATCCTTTCATATTCTAGTCATGCTTCAAAAGATTTGTAGCTACTTGTGTTATATCTCTCCTAAAACCTAAATGATTCCATTTGGATTTGTATACAAAAACGATTTGCTCAAAGCAATGACACAACGTTATCCTAATTTCTAAGGTACTTTGTAAGTTATTTTTCTAAATAGCCATTTTTCGTGCTCTTATCTCATTCTTCATATCTATATTTTATCTTGACGGGAGTAGGGCAAGTGACTCTTATTTCCATCATATTTGTATATGGCTATTTCCTATGGGTTTATAGTTTCTAGTTTCTACCAATTCGACAATGTAATTAAGGTCAAAATTTTGGGGTAATCATATTTAGCAACTTTCGTTTTGATTTCTTCCAATTACATCATGTTTTTACTAATGTCCTTTCGTTTCATTTTGACTATTAATAATTTTTGGCAAGAATAAATGGTTGATAAAACTATGGAAACGGTAATCATATTTTGGTGAACATAAAAATTGAGAAATAAATATGTATGGGAAACAAATAATTTCTATCATAATATGTTTATTGTTGTATCCATACAAATAAATTCCTACTATAATTTTTGGGTAATAATCCAAACTAAAGTTACACATCTTATATAACTGGTCAATAGTTTATAAATTTGCAAATGATCATAGTAACTGAAATTGCTAATATAAGCATTGCATATTCTATCAAAAACATATGATCATTGCATATAATAAGATGCCATATTTTTATCCCAACCATTATTGCAGTTATATATATGTGACTATTTCTTTTATTTCACAAATACTCTAGGGAAAGACTTCGTATATGACACAAGACACACCAAATAAACAAGATAAGCTTTTGTTCCATTGGGGAGAAATGATATTGATGTGAAGTGATATTGTATTTGGAAGTACTCTTTTACTTCAATAATACTTTTAAAACTTTCTTTGAAAAAACTCTAAAACTTTAAAATGTATGCAGTAATCATTTAAAAGCTACTCCGTATATCTTATAAATATGTGATTAAGTTATTTCTATTTTGTCTATTCAAATAAATACCAATCACACAATTTATTTCAATTATTTATGTAAAATTCATATTCCCCTTCCACTCTCTAGCCTTCATACTTCTTCTTACAACTTTATCATTTTCTAGATTAAGAGCCCATTTGGTAATATGAAAATCGGCTGTTTTGACTGATTCTGCTGAAATTTATGAAGTTCTGCCTGAAATGGTCGCATTGGCTAATTCTGCTGATTTAAGAAAAAAATATTTTTAAAATTTATTTTATTAATAAAACAAAGAAAAAATTATATGTAAAAATAGTTAAAATGGTCATCTACAGTAACTTCCGCCAATAAAGCCAAAAAAGTAACTCTAAGCTTACTTTTAAAGCTTATTACACAATTCAGCTGATAAGCTCATATTCAGTGTTGCTCTCCATGGAAAGCTGTCAATGCTACTTTCTGAAGCAAAGGAAATGAAACACGACGAGAAATAGATAACTGGTGGATTCAGTTTTTTTATCCTTTGCGCAATGTAAAAATCTTCCAAACTAAGCTGGCTGCTGGCTTGTTGTAATAAATAAATAAGGTTATGCCATGATCTGTATGAATATGTATAATAATTCACCAATTTCGGAGGCGGCAAGGAGGTTGGCGAAAACGAGGAATGGTCCATTCACTGAAAAATAGCGAAAAATAAAAAACGGATCCTGAGGATTTCCTGTCCATTGTCCTCCTCTCGTTCTCTACCTTCTACTGGGTATAAATATATTCGCAGACATGATTGGCTGGAAAGAAAGGGATTGGATCCGGAGCATCATCAGACCCATTAACCCGTTTTTTCTCCCTCCTGCCGGTTATCTTGCGATTTCCAGAGAGAGGGAGACCAGCTGCCTCTGTTATTTACATACAATTGGTAAAAAGAATTGGCTGTCTGTATGTTTGATATATATAATGCTATACTCTGGGCTTTTGCCTTTTGCATTGGATTTTGGAACATTTTTCTTGTCCACTTTTCTATTAAAGTCTCTTTCTTTTTTAGGATTTCACTATTTCAGAGTTTAATGTTGTTTTGAGATGAATAATGTTGATGTCTTTGTGTTTGAGTAGAATAATATTGATGCTCTCTTGATTTCTGCTGTCAAAGTTAATCCCTTTCTTATTGTGTTGAATGCCTTTTGTCACTTGTGATTTCCAAGCTTAATATTTGCTTGCTAGTTGCTAAGTAGTTGGACTCATTATTTGAGATGTTCTTCTTTCACTTTCATTTAAATTACTCCTTACGCAAATGCGACATGTCCTCAACCTTAATGTGAACACACAACAACGTACACATGCTTCTGTTAGTTAGATTGTTTGTGTGCTAGCTTGATGTTAACATCATATGTCCTCAGTCCTCACTAATCTTCATACCAAACAGCTTATTCTTTCCCAATTGTATGCTAATCAGCTTCTAGGAACCCATTTTAAGCCATTTCTTGACGATATGATTTTTGTTTGATTCCGGAACAGTTGATATTGATGTTTTCACGTTTTACATTTCTAATCTGCAAGCCTGGTAGTTCATGATAAGGAATACTGATTTTTCTTACCTAAACAAACTAACATTAATAATAAAACAAGACAATAAAAATTGATACATTCCCCCAACCTGGCAGGTTAGTCATACTTAGAGATGCATCATGCATGTGTTGTGTTACAGCATCTCTAACTAGATCTCCATATTTTAATCTTTTCAGAAAGGCATTGAAACTCAGAAACACGATGAATTATCCTCCACTTCATCTTATTTCTCATGAAAAATGACATTTATTTATATGTTTGTTTGTTTGTTTGTTTATTTTCGTTCTTTGATTTACTTTCCATGTTGAGGGCAGGATGTAAAACTTCTAGCGGCACGGGTGAAGAGTTGGAACTCGCATGAGGACAATATCTGTTTGTAAGCTGAGTAGGAGGAATAATGGGTGCCTGTGGTTCGAAAGCATCCCGTCAGATAATCCAGGTGAGGAAGAAAAACCTCCGCCGCCGTGGCCGCCACAAGAGACACCGTGCTATTACAGAAGGAAAAAGGAAAAAGAATGGAGATGGAGGAGGGGGTAGTAGAGTGAAAGATATTGGTGCGAGTGAGTTTGTTCACACAACTGTAAGAAGCAAACTGTCTGATGTGTCGCAATTGCACCATAGCAGCCACATTGATACTAACGGTATTTTCAGCTTTAATTACTTGTTCATCGAAGGATCCTAGACATGAGTTTTATCCTAAAAAGATTACCCTAAATTGCGATTCCTAAACAAACAACAAACCATAATCGGATCAGATCATCAGACTATGATACCATATTAAATGCGGCTTAACTCACCTCCAAAGGATGCTGAGGAGGTATGGTTGACCTCAACTTATATATCAGCATCGTGCGCTCAACTTATATATCGGCGTCGTGCCCTCAACTTATATATCAGCATCATGCTTACTAACATCCGATGTTTGGCATTCAAGACTTTAAAATTTGATACATATGATCAATTAAGTTTGCTTTATCCATTTGTATGATATTTCTAGGATCAGTAGGTGATTTTTAATTATCTATTAATTGGTCTTATAAATAATATTATTGGGAATGCATCCTTGAAGTATTGAGTAGTTTTATAGGCAGGATGTTTTCATCAACATAGGGGTCTAACAAGTTATAAAGCTATTACTACACCTCTTATATCACCTAAAAAGAAAAGAACAAAATATGTTTAATACTTTGATCACTCCGTCAACCTTACTAAACAATGTCTCTTTAATCAGTTTTTTTGTGTTAGTATTTTTATTGCTTTTCTCAAATATCCATTGAACAAGGTTTATTTGCTCAGTTTGATCCTTGAACATGCAATTTTGACTACATTTCAACTAAATTGGGTCTCAGTTGCCTAGTTGAGTACCGAGTTGTAATAATGTTTAGTTGAGGGACTAAATTAGGAAATAACTGAATACAATGTCATGGCAGTGGTCTAGTTGGATTGACCAATGATGAAGGTTATTAAACATAATCACAGTTTCTTGTCATCTGGGTTTCAGACAATTAAGTTGAATGAAATCCTTAATCATAAGGAAAAAGAGAGTATCCTTGTTAGACGTAATTCACAATGTCTTGCCCCCGGGCTTCAGATAATTAAGATGAATGTATAGTCGAGGGACTAAATCGGGAATTAACTGAATACATTCAATATAATGCCATGACAGTGCTTTAGTTCATATCGACCAATGAGGAAGGTTGTTAAACATAATCACAATTACTTGTCCCCTGGGCTTCAGACAATTAAGTTGAATGAAATCCTTAATCAATAAGGCAATAGAGAGTATCCTTGTTAAGCACCTTTTGTTAATCTCATACAACTTTAAAACTCGAGAATTGAAACTAAATATAGATTGACATGCTTGCAGTATTTTTTCAAGAAGAAGCATGGTTCGATACAGTCAGCATTTTGGATCATGACTCAGATGATGATGACTTCTGTAGTGTTCATGGAGGTAAGTAGCATAATATATTCTGTTTAAATTCCCAGTAACAACTCTTTGTAGGCATTGTCAAGTACTCCGTATAATATATGATCTACATTATTTTGTTGGTATAAAACTGCCATACCATACCTTAAGTAGATAATACAACATCCGTCCTGGCTAAAGCTTCTGATTGAAAAATAGCACGGTTATTTTGACAATAATTAAGTAAGGTAATTTGAGTATATTTTTAGAAGTAATATTTTAGGGTATATAACATAATGAGGTCATTGATGATAACTATGTTGTTATAGGTGAAAAGCCTAAGGTAGGACGGAGGGGGTATGTTTTAATATCATCATCATCATCATCACTACTTTTACTGCTTTGGTTGCTTTTAGCTGAACTCTTAAATAAAATTCTATATTTTATTTGAGCAAACAACAAAGTTGACACCGCATAATCACCACATTGACTTTCAGGTAAAAAATTTGAACTAATAACATGTTTAGTGATATTATTCCATTTCGTGATACAGATTGTCTTCCTTATGCGCCGGGTGGACATGTCATTCAGTGTGAGACTTCGTCTTGCTTTGTAGATAGCAAATGTAAGCACAAATTCTAACATGAATTATATTTTAATATATACTCCGTAATAAGAAAGCAAATTGAGCCGCAAATAGGGCTTGTTCTTATAGGGGCCCATGGCTTTGGATATCCATCCTTATGGAAGATCATGATGTGTGGAGATATATAGACTAGTTAAACCATAAACTTTCTTATGGACTTTTCACTAATGTTTTAATATCATTAATATATCAGATTCAGGTCTTTACTCTCAAGCAACAAAATCTGCTATCATTAGGCTATCCTTAGAGAGAACATCTGTTGATGAAAATGCAGCAGAGGATTTTTGTAAGTATATTGTGGTTTGAGTTTTGATTTTTTTGGGAACTTGCCTTAGGCAACCCTTAGATTTGTAGTATATCTCAAAGTGACCCTTCCATATAGATGTTTCGTACATTGAGGGTTACTTCATGATAATTTTCAAATCAACATCCCTGTTATTTTAAGAAATGTGGCTACCATCCCTGTTATTTTCAAATCTAAGGGTGAAAGAAAAAGAAATTTCTCTTTTTTACTTGTTGTGAATTATCTGTTGAGAATATCTTCTAATAGCTTGGTTATACAGTTTCAAATATCTGAGGAAGATCTTATTAGTATGATTTTAATTATGAATATTATCACTACTACTATAATAATAGTATAATATGGAGTAATAATTATTATTATTTTGCATCGCCCATACAATCACTCAATCAGACAATCAGTTGTATTTCAATCAGTGATGTGGTCACTATGTAAATAACTTGGGTGTGGCTATTAAAGGGTTTGGGATTGAAGATAAGGGATTGAGATATTTTCTTAAGAACATTTGTTAGAACAATATGGTTGACAACTTGACACATGACATGCATACAGGTAGATCAAAAACATATCTTTACCGGCCCAGAGCAGGACTCACAGTTGCATGTTGTATAGACAAAAAGCCAACTTCAGGAACTTGGTCTATTACCGACCCCTCTACTTTCAAGCTCCGTGGTGATACTTATTTTAAGTATGGCCATGACTTCATTTTTGTTGACCTTTATATGTCAGCTTATTCGGATAATATTGCTTCTAACGCAACTGTAACCTCTCCTCAACCTCGATGTGAACAAACACATGTTATGCTTCTGTTTGTTTGTATGCTAGTTTGGTATTAACTGTATATTGTTCTCATACTAATTTTCAAACCATACAGCTTTCCCAATAAACTATAACATTTGAGACTTAAATGTCAACAAACTCTCAATTGGAAGAATAACTCTAGATCTTATGTTTTGGCTTGTTTTTCATATTTAGATACTCCTATATTATGTTATTACTTTTGCAACATATTCATAATCTTTAAACTTAATATGCAGAGACAGGAAGAAGTCTCCTGCTCCAAATTTGTGTCCTTATACTCCCATTGGAGTTGATTTATTTGTATGCCCAAGAAAGATTAAACACATTGCACAGCACCTTGAGCTTCCTTCTGTCAAGGCAGATGGGAAGCTACCCCCACTTCTCATAGTTAACATTCAGGTATGTCTAGCAATTGTTTCCATCCATAAAGATGTCATATAGTCCCCCAGTTCCTAATTTTTTGTGGCTGTCCCACAAAGGTTTGCCATTTTCCTTTTAAGGAAAGAAATTGTAATTTATATTGCATCTCTCGCTTCAAGAATCAAGATAAACCCCAACTATACAATTTTTCAATTCATTATTCCTCATGTCACTCAAACATTGAAAAAAGGTTGGGAGGGAGAGAATATCAAGCATTTCTTGCTGTATTATTATTATTATTATTATTGTTGTTGTTGTTGTTGTTGTTGTTGTTGTTGTTGTTACTATTATTATTATTTCATTATTATTTTGATTCAGATGCCCATTTATACTGCTCATATGTTCCATGGAGAAAGTGATGGGAAAGGACTGAGCCTTGTATTGTATTTCAAACTCTCTGAAACTTATGAGAAAGATATCTCTCCCCAGTTTCAGGACAGCATCAAGGTATGTCCTACCTCCCACCATTTACTAAGCAGCACTTATGTTTCCTAACGCAATGATTTGTTTGTTTTTTATTAGAGATTTGTAGAAGATGATATGGAAACGGTTAAAGGATTTGCAAAGGAGTCAAGAGTTCCTTTCAGAGAAAGGTTAAAGATTATGGTTGGGGTGGTGAATCCATGTGATCTTGTGTCGACGTCAACTGAAAGGAAACTCTTAAATGCATACAATGAAAAGCCGGTGCTTTCTCGTCCACAACATGACTTTTATCAGGTTTGTTTGGATTGTCCTTTTATGATTTCTGGAGATATAATAATCTTGCTGTCACAAAAAGAATAGACTCATGCAATGTATACAATGGGTGATTTCTGGAGATATAATAATCTTGCTGTCATATAATAAAATTACGCTTGTCGTTTGTCATTGCAGGGCCCAAATTACTTTGAGATTGATCTTGACATTCACCGCTTCAGCTATATAGCAAGAAAGGGACTTGATGCTTTTAGAGAACGTCTGAGAGAGGGAATTCTGGATCTTGGTTTGACAATTCAGGTTTCACATATTGTTTTTGTATGCTTTTTTACATATTGCACTTCATTGTTTAGTGAATCTCATGATACATTGTTTTTGTTTTTTGTGATAAACAGGCACAGAAGCCAGAGGAGTTGCCCGAGGAAGTCCTTTGCTGTCTCAGGCTAAACAAGATTGATTTTGTTGACCACGGCCAAATCCCAACTCTAGGAAAGGGGATGGATGACCCTTTCCTAGAGTAGAGCATCCATTGCAAGTTGTTTAGCCTACAGCAGTATATATTGCATGCTGGGAATGAATATACTCCATCTAGGCACAAATTGAAATTCCCACTTTGACTCTTGTAGTCAAATTTTGTTAACACATTGACCGCTAACTATTCAAAATATATTAAATTATAATAAAACGGTCAAAGATCCGGATCGAAAACTGTGAAAGTCAATGTGACAACTTGATTTTGGGATGCATGAAGTAATAAAAGGGATGAAATGTCAGCTTTCTACATATAAGCACTGCCACTGTATACGTTGTGCCAAATAGTACTCTAAATCTGTACAAGACATCCTTCCCTACCCTTATGAACACTGGTATAAGAAGTTGTGTTCTTAGGTTAACAGATAGTGAGTACTCTAAGTTCTTTGTTTTGAGTTGACAAAAAAGGGAAAAAATTATGTGTACTGATTTACAGCACTTGCAATGAAAGTTCTTTTTATAACATGGAATCATCAATACACACACATAAAGTAATTATAGTACATTCCAGTTGCGCATTCAGCTTATAAATAGGACTTGATAGGTACGAATAATTTTGGATACATTCTTACTCGAAATTTTATACATGAATGTAAAATGAGTTTTGCAACTTCGAGTGCTCTAGAAGTGGATAACAGAGGAACATATTATGTTGATGGATGTCTCTTTGCTATATGCTGTCATAGCCTTCCCAACTCCCAGTACTAAAGTAACAAAACTGGTTCCATCACTTCCATGAATATAAATGGAGTAAAGAATCAGTTTGATACTTGAAGTTGAATAAAAAGGGTCAAATAAGTCCTTATATAGGAGACTCTGTCTGGTCGCCATCATTTGGGGTGGTTTCTGGTGGAATTTTTTGACGGAATTATTTCAAGTTTTCACATATATAAAAGCGCAATTATTTTCAAGAATTCATTTGAATGCTTTCCCAATTGAAGTTTTAGCAGAAATTTGATATGAGTAAACTAGACTTAATGAATAAGATGTTCAAAAAATTTCATAAAAAAATTCCACCGGGAACCGCCCTAAATGGCGAAGGCCGGGCAGTAATGACTTATTTGACCCCTTTTATGCAACTTCGAGTATCAAACTGACCTTTTACTCAATATAAATCTTATAACTGGAACAATTTGGGGTTTGACCCTATAAATGATAAATCCATAACTTATTTTGTCAAGCATCACCTTTTTCAAGATCAGGAGTGAGAGAAATGAGCTGAAATAATAATAGTAATAATAATAATAATATCAATAATAATAACAACAACAATACTAAAGAACAACACAAATAAAAGCTAGCCGATGAGTGGTGATGCCTCGAATATAATTCGGAGTACGAAATTGCTAACTATATAGCCTCGATGTGATGGAATATTATACAAACCGTTCGCATCAAATATATATCTTGAATTGGCTTACCGTGAGTAATAATGTGTTGATTTAATCTGTCAAAAAAATGTGTTGATTTATGAAAACTAGTAATCCCGAATTCTTCCACTTGTTAAGGCTTTAACGCTCCCATCCCAGTAGAGCAGAAATGGCAAGGGGCGAAAGAAAAACAAAAAAATCCTGCTCTCGTTGAGAGTCGAACTCAAGACCTCCCGCTTACTAAACGGGTGCTCTAACCAACTGAGCTACGAGAGCTGCTTGTTGATGGAACAAGCTTTACGTATATAACGCTTATCCGTTATACGAAGTCGTATTTGCCCAGGATGAGAAAGAAAATAGGAAATGCGTTATGGTTAAAAATACTGAAATTTAAACGATAATAAATTCGAGTTCCGGCATACTAAACCTTAATTTGTTATCGAATGTTTCCTAACATTTGGTAAACAATTTCTTTCAAAAAAAAAAACATTTGGTATGACAATTTGACAAGTTAAGCCAAAATTACTAAAAATGAACTCCAAATTCATAAAATCTAAGTCAAACATTGATTAGGTTGGAATCAATATCATAATTAGTTGTAATGATGTATTCTGGTTTCTCAACTGTTAATAGGACATTACTATTCATGGTCCTCCGGCCTAGGGTGGTTCGGTACGGTATACCGAATATTTTATCTCATACCTTTACTATACCGTAAATTTTCGGTATGCAAAAATACATACCGTTACCATACCGAAAATTTCGATATACCTTGTTTCGGTATACCGAAATTTCGGTACGGTAAGGTACGGTATCGGTAAATTATCATGATTTAATATAACAAAATATTATATGTCAAATAAAATATTGATAACTAGTTTTAATTGTGATATACTACAATCATTAATGAAATTAATTATAAAATACCAATGATAACCTATTGGTGTTCTATTCAACTTTGAACAAAAAAATATTATAATTATGTTTAGATATTTCAAGTTTTCAACACTTGATACATGAAGATAACAAAATATTATACTAAAAAAAATTAAACAACATAAATATAATTAAAATAAAACTGATCTCCAACAAAAAGTATAAATGATTCAAGAAAGATGGATATAAAGTCATTTATCCTTGAATTAGTGTTGTGTTTCTAGTTATTTTTATAATTTTAAATAAATTATTGACTTGGAATCCGGTATGACGGTATAGCGGTATACCGTTTATTTCTAAAATATATATCGATACCATACCGAAGTAATTCGGTACGGTATCATACCATACCAAAAGTGTCGGTATACCAAACATTTCGGTAAATTCGGTATTTTTCGATATGATATGGTAAGTCCGGTATACCGAAATTTCGGTATTTTCCCCCACCCCTACTCCGGCCACTTGAAATATACTCCGTAGATAACCCTAAGTTAATTATTTGGCATAACAGTTCGAGCTTTTTTTTTTACTTTATTTTTAAATATTACTCCGGGCATAAAAGTGAATTATTTAATTCATACATTTTAGGCTCTGTTTGCAAACACAACTGGGAAGTGCTTTTAACTTTTTTAAATGATTTGGTAGAAAAGTAATTAATAGTAAAAGTTGGTAGTGTTTGAGAAGAAAGTGATTTTGAAAAGTAAAAGTTGGTGGTGTTTGGTAAAATAAATGTTTTTTGTGTAATAAAAAAAGTAAAAAACAGATTCTAGCATTTAGCTTTTAAGTAATTCATTTAAATAAAAGTTGTCATTTAAAAACATCTTTTTAGCTTTTTTTAAACCAAAAGCAGGAAAGTGCTTTTTTAGTTGTGTTTGCAAACAGAACCTTACTTTATGAACTATGAAGTACTAATATATATGAGAATTGCCATGTTTAGATTCTATTAGTACAGTTCGGCTCATTGAAGAAAGAACCAAGATGTAGGCATGTAGCAACACCGGAGCAGATCAAAGTCTCACTTGACTTATGATGATCGATTTCATAAATTGGTAAAATAATTTATTGTCCATAATTATTTTTCAAATTTTCGCGAAATTCAAATTTCCAAATAAAATGGGTTTTGACTGAAATTGTAATATGATCGATACAATTATGTACTCCCTCCGTCCCGTTGGAATGTTCCCGGTTTGACCTACACACATATTAAGAAAATAAACTTACCAGGGGGTAAATTTTATTGTTTGGACACTGTTTGGACACTGTTTGACACTGTTTTGCACTGTTTGACACTGTTTTGATGTAGGATAACTTTCCATTTAGGGAAATGAGAACTTTCCATTGGGACATCCAAAAAAGGAAAGTGAGAACATTCCAACGGGACGGAGGTAGTAACATTTAAATGCATTTAAGATATCAATTTGGTTCATTCAATAGTTGAAGTATTGCAATGCTCAATAGTTGGTACATAGTTATAGTACCATTTAAGTCCTAAGACTACAATCACACATTATGCTTAACAGAACACAAATGTAGATAAAGCAACAAGAACCATGACAAGGAAGACGACAATGGGTTTAGAAGGCGGCATTAGCGATGGCGAACCATTTATGGATTGAGCGACAGGCAGCAGCGGGGGAGGAGCAAGCGGCCGTTGTTCGACATTGATAGCCATTTTCAATTTATTCCAACAGTAACCTCCGCCGCTGATGAAGTAATAAGGTCTTGCCTCCTTCAGCAGAAACACGTCCCGCCCGCCTCTCGTGATGTTTGTCACGAACTCCTTGTCGTTGCATGACTCGTAATTGGTCTCGTTCACTTCTAACACATTGTAGTAGTGCTTATCAAACACGAAATCTGATACAATATTGAAATTAGTACTCAATATTTGACCAAGTAAATGAAGGGCTAGATATAACTATTATTTGAACAATCATTCTCCGTGTATACCCCCAAATGACACACTGAGTTATACACCACTTTTTGTGTGTGTGTTCACAAGCAATTGTTTTTTGTCTTTGTAAAGACAACAGTCCGGAGTATTTTATGGAGCACAGACAGTTCACTTTTTCAGGGTTACATTTTTATGGAGCACATAAAATGCAATTCACTTCTAGCAATGTTGATTTGAACAAAATTCATAAAAAATCACCGAAAGGTTTATAAAATGAAGGGGCGGAGCTAGGGGCCGGAGGGCCAACCCTGACCCTGGCCTACCCCAAATTTTGAAAATGTCTAAATTTTTAGAGTAAAAAATTCCATGTATTTTTTTTTTCAAAAATATTCTTTGTATCGGCCCAGTGTTCTGGCTCCGCCCCTGATAAAATGTACTATTTTGATGAGGAATCTCATAAAATGGAAACTCAAAATTTCCAAAACACTATTTATTTAAGATAAATATATATGTGGTTCCCAATTCTTCTTGATTATGGAAATGTCTCCTAGTTTATGACAAGCTTTCGAGATGGGGAGCTTCCATAGGTGACTTTTCAGGAGATAGCTTTACAGATTTCGAACAAGTTACGATGAAAAAGAAATAATTTCAAATATGTAACTAAAATAAAAGTATTAGACAAAAATGTGACTATGATAATTGTGGTGAGTATAATTGTATGCATATATTACGAGTACATAATAGTGACTATAAACTTACTCATAGTAATTTATAGTTACATTTTTATCCATAGATTTGTATTGGTGATATTTTAGGAAAAACCTCGTGAAAAAAATGATCGAGAATAGGGAGAATTACAAAGCCAGTCGCCGACGTAAAAATGCTGTTGGGCAGCCCATTCGGTGTAGTTCATCACGTTGGGGGCCCAACCCACATTCCCTCCCACCTTTATCCGATCACCGCTCGCACACGTCAGCAGCAGCCCCATCACGAACAACACACCATTGATGGTCGTCGTCGAGCGGGCCAAAGCCCAACCCGCCCCCATTCCGGAGATTCAAATGATCAGTCTGGTCTGATTTCTCTCTTCAGTTATTTGGGTTTCTTAATATCCACTATAGTCTAAAGTTTACGAGAGTGTTTTTTTGTGTGTATGAAAATGTGGAAATATATCATTGTCAGCCAACGCATATATAGGTTCACAACAAAAGTTCAACAGACGCCAGTACTGATCGGTCAAACTCCATTTGACTAAGATTGGTTGTTTTGCGTTGTTCGACAATTCCATGCGCGAGATATGCGTGGGATGCGATACACGGTTCAACTTTAGGGTAATTTTTTCACAATTTAGATTAGGGTAATGTTTTTCCATTTTAATATTTAGTTCACACTTCTGATATTTAAGTCGAATACAATTACTCTTCAGCCCAGTCCCATTTAGATTCATGAGTTCACCCCAATTTTTTTTTACGGACATAGTGCATATTTAGTGTAGAGTATCATTTGTTTTTTACGGAAAAAAAGTCATATAAATTGTTTTACTATTTTCTATCTATCAGTCTATCACTTAAGATCATATCTAAAAAATATCATATAAGTCTTTTACTTTGAACAAATTATCAATGTAGTCGTTCAATCAGTTTTTGACATGAAATAGCAATTTTTTTCAAATTAAAAACTCTAAAAAATTATTACGAGTAAAAGTTAAAGAAATATAGATAAAAAGTGTGAAAAAGTTCAGTGTCAAAGTCAATATCTTTGCATTTATGAAATTATTTTCATGTTCTACATCTTTAATTTCAAAAAGGTTTTTACATTTTTTAATTTATATTTTTACATATTCACTTTATTTTTTAGTTTTCTTAATTTTTTATTATTTTAACATTTTAAAATTACATACTTATCTATTTGTTACATTTGTACTATTTTTACATTTTTGGAACTCTATTTTTATACTATTATTACATTGTTTTTCAAATCTATATGAATTTTTGAAAGATTTATCAATAATCATAATTTATTTTTTTTTAAAAATAACTTGTTGTAGCAGAAAGGCTTAATAGTTGATAGGTGTATTTGACATTTTTCCCATTTTTAAATGGATTACTTTAAATTCCAAATCAAATCATACCAAATTATATGAGACATAAACAGATCAGGATTATATCAAATTGGACCAGATATTAATTGATATAAATAATATTATCTCTTTCGGAAAAAGTTTTGCCAACTTTAAAACTTTGACCAACTAATTGTAAACTATTTGCATTGGAAACTATTTGTAATATAAAAATGATTTGAAAATGTTTTTTGTTAAATGTATTTCATAAAAGAATAAAATTTATAACTTACAAAATACTATATTACTCAAATCATGGTTTAATCTTTACAAGATGGCAAAATTATTTGGGGCGGAGGTAGTACATAGAACATATATCTATTAGACTAGATCAGACAGGACCAGTTCGGGATAAAATTACCCATACTAAAAAGTAAAAAGTTATTTTGAATATATCATAATTGGAAAATTATTTTAAAACTTTTATGCGCTATTTTTGCAATATTATTTTTAAACTAGTAAAAAGTTATATTGAAAATATCAATACTAAAAATAAATGAATATATGTCTACGTGCGACGTTTGTAGAGTTAAGAACAAATAAAAAGATGGCTTAACCAGTTAACGTATGAGATCCTTCGCACTCAATTTTACTTGTATTCGTTGCACTTTATGTGCATTGTAATGCACATTTTGACGTTGCTCCAAAAAATCGCCTATTTACAAAAATGTCACCGCGTGTTTGACTAAATCGTGGTAGCATTTTTGTAAAAAAAATGAGTTTTTGTGAAACGTCAAAAAGTGCATTATTGTGCACATAAAGTGCAAAGAATATATGTATAAGTGAGTGGGAAGGATTTCACACGTTAAACCTTTTTTTAACTGACGTTTGTACGTATATATGTGTATATATTAAAAATAATCGTAGCAGCAGTCACATAAAATAAAAAAGTACATACTACCGTATAATTTATTTATCTTTTCATGACTTATTAAAAAAAATATGAAGTTTTTTTTAAGAGGGGGGATTATATTGAAATCAATGCATTAGCATTCAGAAAGGGAGTAAAATGAGTAAGGAGCCACAGACAATCGTCAGCTCTCGAACCAGACTTGGAGTTAATCACCTTCAAACAAGCAATATAACTCCATGATCCATTAATGAACAAACCTGAGCCACAGATGATTGATGTAGAAATAACTTCACCCGATCTTAATGCAAGAGTCTTACAATAAAAAATAATATATAGCAACAAAACAAATAACAGTCTGATGGCAAAAAATGGCAATAAAACGTGCAGATAAATAAAAATTTCTTCCTTCTTCACGAGCACCTCCACAGATCCACCAAGCGAGCCCCCTGGCGGTGGTTTAGGAGGAGGTCGGACCATCGCTATGATTGTTGACATGAAAAAGCCACAACTCCAAACCCTAGCACCAAAGGCTCTGCTCCCATCTGTCGCACGATCGGTTTCCTACCGAGCAACCTTCATCTATCCCACCTTCCGTCCAGCACATCCTTCGTCGAACCACTCTCCTCCGTCGTTCTGCCGCCCATCACGGTCTCCGCTGAATTGAACAAATGGTTGCCCTGCTCGAATCTGCTACTACAAGATTTCGCTCGCCCTTCGTCCTTTGACCTGCAAAACGAAACGAAAAGCAAACTTCCGAAGCCCCCAAAACACCCCTTGCCTACGGCCGCACCTCGGAAGGCCGAGAGCACAGGAAACGAAGCTCTAGCGGCTAAAAGCCCTAGAGAGAGAAATTTTCTGTATTCCAAAGCGGTTTGTGTGTGTTGTTACAAAAAAAATGAAGTTAATCTCAATATATATACTTTTTTATTCATTTTAATTCTTGACATTTAATTGTAAACGCTAAAATTTTCAAACATTTTACAAACAGTTAATTGCAACAAAGCCCATGCCTTATTGCCTTGTAGCTTGGTTGTAACTCGCGAATTTGTCATAAGTCTCATTCTCTCTGTTTTTTTGGACTTTCAGAATCCTGCAAATCCAATTTGATGTCCATTTTAATTTCAAAATGTAAACTGGGGGATGTTAAGTACATATTCTCTTTTTTTAACAACAAAACTTAGTTATTATTGATCAAAACACAATTTTATAACTCAATAGATGAGACATAGGAACAAATGATTCGAATTGCGAATGTTGAATTGCTAATCACGGAGTTTGCGTAGACTCAATACTTCCTAGGAGATTGACTCCCAGGGGCGGATCTAGCATTTGCGTTGAGGTGGGGCCAAATTTTAATTACCAATACGTAATTTATTTTGCAAAAAATGTTAAAATTACAAGATGTAGTTATATAATTTTACAGAAGTGTCAAAGAAAAAATAAATAAATATTACAAAACCGAAAATTTAATTATCTTAAAAGAACCATAGATACCTAACCGAAATTGGCTCGCGTCAGTTACTAAAGTGTTCAATACCAATTTTCAAGTTGATTTCTCGAAAATCAATTTTCTTTTGACTCCATAGTCTATGCTCTATGTAAAAAAGTAAACTAATTAAATCTCACCTACCAAGTAGAATGAATTGAACTTATTAATTTTTTAAATCAATATTCAAAAGTCCAATGATGTGAACTAATTAATTTTTTAGACTAATATTCGAAATACTAATGAATCGAATTAATTAATTTTTCAAGCTAATATCCAAAAGCTTATCAAAAAATCTCCTCATGTTGCATTGAAAAATAATTAATATGGTGCCCAGGGGACTCAAACCTAACTACTTTTGTTGCATAATTAGTGTGCTTCCATCGGACCAACTTGACTGATGTTTACAAATTGGCATTAGCTTTTTTTATATCATAACTACTAAAACACTATATATTAATATATATATATATATGTAATATATATATACTAATAATTATATTTTTTTGAGCATGGGCCTAGGCCCACCCTGGCCATGGGCCAGATCCGCCCCTGTTGACTCCTATTGCGAAAAGAATAATTGTTAAGCGGGCCGATTAGCATACATCGGTAACGAAAAAACAATATGCATTTCGACTCGACTATCAACCAAAAACGAGCTATGAATCTTCCTGATAATGACATGTTGGGCGAGTTTGGGCTTTGATTAATCATTATAATTAATTGTTAATCATTCCTAGTTTGTATTTACTGGGCTTCGGCCTATTAGAGTAGGGCTGCACATATCGTGTATATATACTCACACTTTGATGTAATAGAAACAAGGAAAATGAATTCCAGATCATTGGTTTTATAATATGGTATCAGAGCCTAGCGAATTAGTTCGCTGATTCGGTCCTGCTCCTGTACGTCGGTTGATCGCAGCTGCAGCACCTGCGTGTATATGCACTGCGCATCATGGAAGACGAAGTAGCAATCTGCCCGACCGCTGGGAGCAATCTGCCTGCTGCTGTTTCTTGCGGACGTTGGCTGGAAGCTAGCATTCATACCGTGAGTTATTCGGAAGCTGCTCCGGAGGCCTCTCATCGTGACGATGTGGATTGCAATCCTCTTGAAAAATTGAGTAGGGAACAGGTTCAAAAACTTTTACACATGATTAATGATGAAACACACTCCACCAATCGCATGTCTGGTAAGTGTGGTTCTCTTGACTGGATAATTGATACCGGTACATCCCGTCACGTAACGGGTGATTTGAGTCGGCTTACTAATGTTACTAATATTCCTACTTGTGTGGTGGGACTGCCTGATGGACGTACTGTTTTTGCAAATGTGGAAGGTCGTGTGCATTTATCCACGGACCTGGTTCTGAATAACGTTCTTTATGTTCCCAAACTGAGTTGGCATCTTATTTCTGTCTCTCAATTGACTGATCATTCCGCATGCATTGTGACTTTCACTAAATCTCTATGTGCTATACAGGACCTACACTCGAGGAACCTGATTGGAGCCAGTGAGAGACGGGATGGGCTGTTTTATTTCCGACGTGTGCCTGCACTGCATGCTGTGAGAGTACCTAGTTTGACATATTTCGAGCTGTGGCATCGCCGGTTGGGACACCCTTCAGAACGGGTTCTTAAGCTACTGCCTGCGATTCGTTCTAGTTCCTTTAAAAAATCTCTAAACGATGCCTGTG